TGCCAGTCATATTTAGGACTTATCACCATCCTCCACCAGAAGTTCAAAGCACTTTCTCCTCTGCTGGGCCCCATATGAATTAGAAACATCCACGTTATTCATTTCTTCTGCCCATTTTTTAATTTGGTTGGTTTTTTTTTTTGATGTTGCATTATATGAACTGTTTATATATGTTGGATATTAATCCCTTATTGGTCATCTCATTTGCAAACATTTTCTCCCATTCAGTAGGCGGTCTTTCTTTTTTGTCAATGGTTTCCTTTGCTGTGCAAAAGCTTTTTAAAAAAAAGTTTAATTGTTTATTTTTGCTTTTATTTCCTTTACTTTAGGAGATGGATCCAAAAAAATATTACTGTGATTTATGTCAAAGAGTGTTCTGCCTATGTTTTCCTCTAGGAGTTCTATAGTATCCAGTCTTACATTTAGGTCTTTAATCCATTTTGAGTTTATTTTTGTATATGATGTCAAAGAATGTTCTAATTTCATTCTTTTACATGTAGCTGTCCAGTTTTCCCATTTTTCCAAAGAGGAAATGGAGATGGCCAACAGGCACCTGAAAAGATGCTCAACATTGCTATTCATCAGGGAAATGCAAAATCAAAACCATAAAGAGATATCACCTTACACCTGTCAGAATGCTATCATTAAAAAGAACACAAGGGCTTCCCTGATGGCGCAGTGGTTAAGAATCTGCCTGCCAGTGCAAGGGACATGGGTTCGAGCCCTGGTCTGGGAAGATCCCACATGATGCGGAAAAACTAAGCCCGTGAGCCACAATTACTGAGCCCGCGTGCCACAACTACTGAAGCCCATGCACCTAGAGCCCATGCTCTGCAACAAAAGAAGCCACTGGAATGAGAAGCCCACGCACCCCAATGAAGAGTAGCCCCCCTCACCGCAACTAGAGAAAAGCCTGAGCACGGCAACAAAGATCCAACACAGCCAAAAATAAAATAAATAAATAAACAAACAAATTAATTTATTTATTTTTTAAAAAAAGAACACAAATAACAGATGTTGACAAGGATGTGGAGAAAAGGGAACCCTCATACACTGTGGTGGGAATGGAAATTGGTGCAGCCACTGTGAAAAACAGTACGGAGTTTCCTCAAAAAACTAAAAATAGAACTACCATATGACCCAGCAATTCCACTCCTGGGTAGGTATCAAAAAAAAAAAAACACTAATTCAAAAAGACACATGCACTCCACTGTTCATATTCATAGCAGCATTACTTACAATTGCCAAGGTATGGAAGTGACCTAAGTGTCCATCAACAGATGAGTGGATAAACAAGTTGTGATATATAAATATACACAAAGGAATACTACTCAGTCATGAAAAATAATGAAATTTTGCCATATGCAGCAACATAGATGGACGTGGCAGGCATTATGCTAAGTGAAATAAGTCAGATGGAGAAAGACAAATACTGTATGATATCACTTACATGTGGAATCTAAAACTTATAACTAATGAATATAGCAAAAAAGAAGCTGACTCACAGATATAGAGAGCAAACTATTGGTTACCAGTGGGGGTGGGGAGGGGCAATATATAGGGGTAGGAGAGTGGGAGGTACAAACTATTGGGGTAAGATGGGCTCAAGGATGTATTGTACAACATAGGGAATATAGCCAGTATTTTGTAATAGCTGCAAATGGAAAGTAATCTTTAAAAATTGTATACAATTTTTTTAATTTTTAAAAAATAGATAAATAAAATATATTAAATTTTTTTAATTTAACAAATAAATAAAGAGCAGCACTACTATAAAAAAAAAGAAAGAAAGAAAGAAGAAGAAACATCCATGTTAAACAAGAGGAAAAAGGTGTGGCCTCTTTTCTATCCCTCCATTCTACTTCCATGTACCAGCTCCCGGGTAGATGCCTTCAGCAGATCTCCGAGGGAGCAGCCCCCTTCTCACCCATGGCTTCATTTTCCTTCAGTTACTGGAAGGATTTAACTGTTGAGGTTGGCACAGTTTTGTCTCTCACCCAGAGTCAGATGCTGGCTCTGTCATATAGAACACGCCACGGTCTGTTGATGCTCATCTGGGTGTCTTGCCCATGCATATTTCTGGTGTCCCCTTCACTACTGAGCAGTGTCTCGAAGGGTACAAACAAGCTGGCGCATGCTCACAGCTACAGTCTTGGGTTTATCCAGGCCTCAGGGATTCTAGGACTCTCTGACATAGCAAAATTTAAGACCAAGAGAAAACAGGGTGAGGAAGATCTTGACTCCTTCATACCTGCTTTGTTTTCTGCCACTTAAACACTATTTGAGAAGTTGGTTCCCTGTGTTCAGAAATGTCACCAAACTTTCAGAGAAGAGCATCTTTGTTGGGAAACACGGTGACCACATAAGACCCCGTTGGGGAAGGCAGAGAATAAAGGTCACAAACTCCCTTTTCAACTCTCTTTCAGCCATACCACATCTCCTGATGGAAAAGTCTAGTAGTGTTACTGAACATAAGTTCATGTGCCCAATGGACAGTAAGGCCAAACAAACCAAAATTTGTTTGAAGCAGAGAAAGTTTTATTGCAGGGCCAAGCAAGAATGGGTGGTTTATGCTGAAAAACCCCAAACTCCCAATGGTTTTTAGGGAGAAGTTTTTAATGGGCAAAATTTGCGGGGAGGGCTGCAGGGTGTGTGACTTTCTTCTGATTGGGTGGTGGTGAGGCAACAGGGCGATGCCCCAGGAACCAAGCGCTCAGCCTGAAGTTACCATCCTCCACATGGGTGGGAGATTTTGTTCCTGCAGAAGAACTTAAAAGATATTACGTACATCCCATGAGAAGGAACCAGGAACCTGCCCCAAGGCTGCATTATTGTTTCTTCACTGCTCCTCCCTTGTTTCTGCATTCCCCCACTTCCCTGTTGGCAACTGTTTGAATCTGCTCTTTGGAGCTCAGGGAAGATCTAGGAGGCTGAAGCCTTTATCCTGCAAATAAGAAATGAGGGACCTGGAAAGGCTTTTGCACCCAGAAGGGCCCTTCAGCGTCCTGCTCAGTTTCAGTAAGACAGGGTGAGGGTATTTATTTTAACTAAAAAGAAATAAAATATTTTTAGTCCTCGAGTCTGATTTTTCTCCTCTATAACCCACTCTCCACTTAGCCAGCAAGTGGAGGATAAGAAACCACTCAGCAGCCTTTAATAAAACTTGTAGTGTATATACAGCATTAGGATTTGTGATTCATGACTTTTTATCTTATCTGTCCTATGCTCCAAGGTCTTAGAAGCAGAGAACTTACAATTTAACACTTCATACTGAGTTTTATCTACTTCCCCCAAATTTGTACCTCATCCTGTAATCTATCTCTAAATTAATGGTGCAATTATCCACCCAGTTGCACTCAATTCAGAACAGAGGGATTATCCTGGGTGCCTCCCTCTTCCTTATCAGTGATAGTCATCAGTCATTAAAACCTGTAAATTCCTCCTTAGTCTTTTATCTCTGTCATAAACCCCTTCTCTGTCCCTCTGTCTTAATTCCAGCCTTCATCACTTTTTGCTTAAACAATTGCAGTAAATTCCCAATTGGTTTCAAAGTCAATGAAACCTCTCCTCCCTCCACACTAAGCATATCTTCCCAAGGATGTGACAAGGTAACTCTCCTGCCTCAAAACATTTAACAGCTGTGGAAACACTAGCCCCATAAGTAAGAAAAGAAAACATGAAATCAGAAATGTTTCTTCTTTTTTGAAGATAATAAACTTTAATCAATAATCTTGAAGCAATTCACTTAGACTTAAAAAGGTACTTCGTTTATTCAGGTACTGTGTTGTGAATGCCTTCTCTTTGCTGGTAACAGAAGCTCTAGGGGAAAAATAGCACTAAGGGAACTAAACAGAGAACTTATTTGCTAGCTGATTAAATTGGGTGAAGATCTAAAGTAAGATTAAATTGATCATGCTCGATCTGTTCACTATCTCAAGCGACAGATTTCTCCAGTGTTTTCCTGCCATTTTCAGAGTGAATAAGACCTGTGTGCTGCCAAGCTGTTTTATTACCCACATAAAACGCAAACCTTTTTGTTTGTCAAGATTTACATCGTTAGAGGATTATCGTAAATCACAATGAACAATAGTTTAGGAGATTAGGTTCATGAATTTTACATGTTATTAATCACCTTATCGAAATAGCGCCCGTCTAGGGTTTTACGCAGATTTATTTTTCTTCTTAGTACTTATCACTAACAAACATTTTGTCTATTTTCTTGTCTCCACCAGAAAGTAAACGCCATAAGGGCAAGGAGTTTGTTTTGCCAAAACAATGGTACAATATGTCTTTTATTTGTATGTATCCCTAGTACAGAATTTGGTACAAAGTGAGCCTCAGTAAATATTTGTTTAACGGGTAAATGAGAATGATAGGAGGGGAAAATCTTCCTCACGTAGCCAAGAAATGGTTTTTCAACCTACAAATTACATGCATACGAATAGTTCTCAAAACAACCCTGGGTAAGAGGCAGAGCCTGTTGTACCAACCTATTATACTAGTATTCACTGAACCTTGAGAATGTGTCATGGGGAGGTCACAAAGCAATGAAACAACTCCTAAAATCCGGCCAGGCGGCTCTCCGACCTCGTGTAACTCAGACCCTTTTGTAGATTTCACATCGGCCGCAAGAAACCCGTTGGCTCCGGTCTGAAACTGCCAATTTGGCACACTATCTGGAAATAAATTCTTGACAAGAGGAAAGAAACGGGACGAAGGAATAATTTTTAATTCTCATACTATCCTCTTTCAATTTTAAAATAATTTTTTAACTGCTGTAAGTGAAACTGTTGAGAGAAAAACGAAGGTGAGCTCCGCTACCCAGAGCTAAAATGGCTGAAATGCCTTCTCTGCCCACACCCACGATGGACGTTGACTGAGAGCCTCCCAACAATCCTCTACTGGCCCCGCCCCTACAGCTCGGAACCCCTCCTTCCTACTACCCGCCCTTCCGTTAGGCCTCCGGTCATGATTGGCTGTCCGTAGTGTTTGCGACTTCTCCGGATGTTGCGTCACGCAGCGAGCTAAAGAGACTGCGCTCACAATCAGTAAGAGGTGGGCAGAGGGCGTTGCGTTTCGCCGGCCCGGAAGGGAAACTGCGCGCTTGAGTCGACCAGGGACTGAGGTAAGGCTTCCCCGGGCCGTGAGGCACCGCGATCCACCTTACTACTGACACCGGCCCCGTTGGGCCGCTGCGTGCGTGTGGGGAGGACTGGAGGCGGCGGCGCTGCGGGCTGCGTCACGGGCTGGCGGCGCGTCAGGGCCGTCCTGCAGGTGACCGGGTGGAGGGGACGGCGACTTCGGGGCCTGGGGTAGGCGGGCAAGGGCCAGCTGTCTCTGCCTGCTTCTCCTTGGGCAGCGAGGTGCTGAATCATCCCCGCGGCCGGGCCGCCCAGGCGCCGCTGTGGTAGATAAGGGGGTGCCTGCGGCTGGTGTGCTGTAGAGTCGTGCGTTGACTTCGGGAGGCTGGAGTTTTTGCTGCCGGGCTCTCATCCGAGTCTTGTGATCTAGCTGAACTTTCTCGGGGGACCAGGCGCCCGAGCTCATCGATGCACAGGAAAGCGTACGGGGTCGGTAATAGTACCCATTTTGTAGTTAAGGCCCCTGAGTGTCAGCGATCAAACATTCGCATGAGGCCACTTCTAGCCTGTGATAGAAGTAAAATTCCCACTCTGGAGGCCACTCTGAGCTGGTGCTCCTCAGTAGGTGTGTTGAGGTCTGAGAGGCACAGCACCTTTAGGCTGAGATGATGTAATGCCACGAAAGTGCTAGAATGATTCGGTATTTTTCCAAAGAATAGGTGTCAGTTTTGTACACCCCTCGCAGATCCCGTGACAGAATTGGAAGTACACTCAGGTATTTAAAAGCAAAGATTCTTAGCTTTTGGGGTGCTAGTTAAAATATATATTACTGTGTCCTATTCCTAGGGGTTAAATCCTTAGGACCGAAGTTAGACCTAGGAATCTACATTTTTAAGATACATCCCAGGTGGTTTCAATACCTTGAATACTTTTACATCATATTTTGAAGGGAAGTAATACTTGGCATGCTTGGTTTCCACTGATGTTTTATAACCTTGCAATGTAGTATGACCTTGAAGAGTTAATCACTTCTTGGATGACATTTTTCCTCTGCTCAGAGTTATTCTTAGCCCTTTTTAAAATTTTCCCACTGAATGCTGGTATAAATCTTCAGCCAAAACCACATGTATAAAATCCATCACACACCCCTTAATTCTCTTAAGATATTAAATCCACTCTGTATTGGACACATAAAAGTCATTCCCCTTGTTATTTTTCCGATTGGGATTTAAACCCATTTTGGTGGTCCAGCCCAAACCAGTTCTGTGGGATGGATTTCTTGAACTAACAAGGGACAAGCAGAGTATTCATCATTATCATTTTAAAAGGTCACTTTATTTCATCTTTTCTCCTAAGAGATGATTGGTTCTTTCTTAGAGCCGGTGGGTTGGTTAATGGGTGATTTTTTGTCTCTGTCTCTAACTAGCATTTCAGATCTGCTTGGTAAACCTGGTGCACCACCATGCTGGCCGCAAGACTTGTGTGTCTCCGGACACTACCTTCCAGGGTTTTCCACCCAGCTCTCACCAAGGCCTCCCCTGTTGTGAAGAATTCCATCACGAAAAATCAGTGGCTCTTACCACCCAGCAGGGTAAAGATAATCTGAATATTTTTATATTGTCTGTCTCTCTGTATGCTCCTGGGACCATTTTTTTTGACAGATTGTGAAGCTCCCTATTCTACCATTAGTGATTTACTGAAACAGCCCTGAAAATGTACCAAATCAGCTCTTTCTCCCTATTAGTGTTCTGTTCCATGCTTATCATATATGAAAAAGAACTCCTGTAACTTCTCCTTTACTTACAGCTCTTGGAATTTCTCATTCAGAGAATTTAGAGTACTCTGGGAAGGATTGAGAGCTGTATGGTACAACAGAGAGATCGTGGAGCCTATTGTCAGAAGCTTAAGAATATTACCATTCGGCCAATAACTTATTAATAAGTTACTAAACATGTCATTTCAGCTCTTGTTTAGAGAATGGTAAAACAAAATCTGTCAAGTTAGAGAGAAACCCATTTCCTTTTGTAGTAGATTTCTGCTCTAGCATACAAATTAGGAGTATAAATTTTGAAATGTGAGGTAGATAAGGAAATATACAGAAGCTAGAAGAGACAACTTTTTTCTCTTAAATTAACTGTTCCACTGTTGAAAAGAGCTAAAATAGAGGTAGTAGTCATCCGTCCCTTTGGCTTTGTGTTAAAGGAAGGATTGAGCCCATTTCCCAGATGAAAAAATGCAACTAATACTTAATGCATATCTTTTAAAAGTTAGTGTTTAAAATATGATAATTCTAGAGATATAAATAAAATTTGTAGTTTATGAAATAAACAGTTCTGAAACCTGAACTAAGAAGTTAGGTTGTAATGAATTAGTGAATCACTTCGAAGATAGAGCACAGGTAGGGTCTACATTTAATTTTTTAGATTGGCTAACATACTTTCATAGTGAAGTATGTATGATTTACATACATAGAAAGTACCAAGTTACATTATACAGAGTTTTCTAGGGTGATGAGATCCTCTGTTTTATTTTGTTGTTAACATTCTTTCGGTGTGGGTGGTGTGTGTCTTTGTTTACATGTGTTTCAGGAATATGCCACCAAGACAAGACTTGGAATTCGGCGTGGGAAAACTAGCCAAGAACTCAAGGAGGCAGCTTTGGAGCCATCATTGGAAAAAATATTTAAAAGTAGGTGGCAGCCTTTAGTAAACTCATGTTTTAAAAAAAGGTCCATGAACAGCATCCTTAAAGTATATGCAAACTTGTACATATGTGCATTTTGTGAGAAGAAGGGCAGTCATCCTCAGGTATCTGATGACCCTGAAAAGGTTGGTACTTCACACTGAGCTCAGTGGTCCCCAGTCACGTTTCTTCCAGAAAAAAATTTTACTTTCACCATTTTTTTTTTAAGGATTATTAGTTAATGCGCCATGATCTGAAAGTTATAATCTGTTATTCAAGTTCATTTGAAGTCACGTAGAATCTTACTTCAAACATAATATTTGTACATGTGTCAGGTCAAGAGTAAATCACCAAAACATAGATGTTAATAAAAAGCTAGTTGTTCAAGAGGGGTCATCTTGATTGGCTGCCCATTTAGGGCCTCTCAGGAGGCAATACCCTAATGGCGTCAGTTTGGTTCACAGTTTGGATTTCAGCTTTGCAAGTTCAGAATCTAGATTGGTAATCTACCCAAAATCAAAAGGTCAATACCCATCTTCCCTGACTTAAAGTGGAGTTATGTCCTGATAAACCCATCGTAAGTTGAAGATGTCCTGAAGTTCAAAATATATTTAATATACCTAACTTACCAAATATCATAGCTTAGCCTAGCCTACCTTAAGCGTGTTCAGAATACTTAACATTAGCCTACAGTTGGGCAAAATTATCTAACACTAAGCCTATTTTATAATTAAGTGTTGAATCCTTCCTGTGATTTATTGAATCCTGAAAGTGGAAAATAGAATTATTGGGTGAGTACAGAATGGTTATAAGTGTATCGGCTGTTTACCCTCACGATCAACTGGCTGACTGGGTGCCGCTGCCCAGCATCACAAGGGAGTATCGTACTGCATGACAGTAGCCCAGGAAAAGATCAAAATTAAAAATTCAAAGTACAGTTTCTACTTGAATGCATATGGTTTTTTAAAAATCTTAAGTTGGGGACCATCTGTATTTTAAAATGGGAGAGAGCCCTAGTTGGCATCCCTCAGGGCATTTCTGTTGGTCAGTTGGCCCTAGAAACCAAATTATATGAATCATAGCAACAGTGTAGTAACATTCTTAGGGAACAAACTTTGACTAAGGGGAGCAAGATGCTCTTTGTGAATACCTCCATCCAGTTAAGAGTTGATAAATTATTTCCCCTCGGTACTCTAAAAAACAAGAGCACCCTCTCCCTTGATCCTGCTGCATAAACACTAATTACATTTTTCTTTGGGTCATTTTTTTCTTGACTCCATGTAAAGCATCACCTTTGTTAATAGCACTTTACACACAATATTAAATATAACATGTGATGTTAACATGTTTTTCTCATCTTTATTTTCTAAGAGTGTCAGGAGAACACACACCTCTTATGAATAAAATAACATATATCACAGAAGTACCCCTACATCTACAGATACACCATCTCCGCAAATTTTGTTAGAGTGAACATAAAGATTAATTAAGTCTAATCATTTTAGTCAAGACAGCAGTATTAACTTGCATTTCCTCCTGTGTTCTGCAGTTGATCAGATGGGAAGATGGTTTATTGCTGGAGGGGCTGCTGTTGGTCTTGGAGCTTTGTGCTACTATGGCTTGGGAATGTCTAATGAGATCGGAGCTCTTGAAAAAGCCGTGTAAGTAAATTGTTCTCAAACAATTCGCGCCTTAAAGGTTCCAGTTTTCTTCTCATCCTTATCTTTCACCACTTTTGGAATATTTTGTGTCCAGTGTTCCAACTGTGTGGAAATACACATGAATAAAAATAGAATCTCTCATTTCCTTGGCATATATTTATTCAAACAATAAATAAAAATCTTTTACCAAGGTTATATATGTTTAAGCAAGAAGCAAACGTGTTGTTTTGTATATGTGCCAAGTGCTTATATGTTTTATATTACTTAATTTTTTATGGTAACTCCAACATGCATCATTATTTCCATGATACTGGAATAGGATTTAGAGCAATAAAGTGATATTTCTCAAGATCTCCCACCTAGTAAATGATTCAACCAAAATTCACATTCATAATTCTATAAATTAACTGTGTTGTGTTTCTTACAGAATTTGGCCTCAGTATGTGAAGGATAGAATTCATACCACCTATATGTACTTAGCAGGAAGTATCGGCATAACAGCTTTGTCTGCCCTGGCAGTGAATAGAACTCCTGCCCTCATGAACTTCATGATGAGAGGCTCTTGGGTGGTAAGTTAGCTTGTTTTCGTTTTCCTTTCCCACTAAATAGCAAAAGATTAAATGAAAACTATCGGAAGAGGGGATTAAATGGAAAGAATACCTTACTATATTAAACAAATCTTTGTTCAGGTAATATATGAATTATTAGTGCAGCTGAAACAAAGTAGGAAATACCTTCTTAGGCAAGTCAGCTATTATTCCTTGTTGAATATGTATTTTAGTAGCAGCAAAGATGTTGGAACCCAAACTTACAGGAACATTCTACTTATCTAGCAGCAGATATCAAACAGCTCTATTTTGTAGTAATTTACTAAAAAATAAGGCAGATGAAAATCCATCTTATGTGGCACATATATACAATGGAATATTAGCCATAAAAGGAAACGAAATTGAGTTATTTGTAGTGAGGTGGATGGACCTAGAGTCTGTCATACAGAGTGAAGTAAGTCAGAAAGAGAAAAACAAATACCATATGCTAACACATATATGGAATCTAAAAAAAAAAGGTTCGGAAGAACTTAGGGGCAGGACAGGAATAAAGACGCAGACGCAGAGAATGGACGGGGAGGGGGAACGGTAAGCTGGGACGAAGTGAGAGAGTGGCATGGACATATATACACAACCAAACGTAAAATAGGTAGCTAGTGGGAAGCAGCCGCATAGCACAGGGAGATCGGCTCGGTGCTTTGTGACCACCTAGAGGGGTGGGATAGGGAGGGTGGGAGGGAGACGCAAGAGGGAAGAGATATGGGGATATATGTATATGTATAGCTGATTCACTTTGTTATACAGCAGAAACTAACACACCATTGTAAAGCAATTATACTCCAATAAAGATGTTAAAAAAAAAATCCATCTTAGAGGTCAGTGGAGAATAGCTGTCACAAAAACCCAAGCACTCTATACTACTAGGAGTAGAATAGTGCTGGCACTATTCTGAACTTTTCTTGACCCTATATAAGGTTTTATATTCAGTGAGAGTTTCTTGAGCATTTGTTGTTTTACTAGCATTTTTTTATTTTAGGAGAGGACAGGGTAGTCGAGTTTTGTGAAAAAAAACAGCTTGGGCAAAGGAGAGGAGGTAGTCATTACAAGTGAATATAATCCCTTTCAAGTGTTTGAAGTTCAGGCGTTTGAGGTCTGGAGTGTGAAGAAGACACAGTTAGAAAGGGTGTGTTTGATTGCCGAGCTGAGGAGAGCACCTAAGCGGTTAGAGGCCATTGCAGATACTAGAACAGCAAAAGTATGATTTGTATTTGAGCTTTAAGAGCTAATGTGGAAGAGACGGGAAGCAGGTGTACCAGCTGTGCCTTTTCAAGGTCTAAAATGATGGTAATGCAAACTAGAGCAACGAGTGTGAGACTGGAAGGGAATGGGAGATGGGAAAGTTTGTATAACACACACTTCCCACAGCAAATTCCCACTGATTCTTCCCATGGGCAACCCAAATCCCTATGACTTCCAAATCTGTCATGTTTCCACTCTTCTGTACTTTCCAAAAGGAGAACCATTTGCAGTTGTGTAGCCATTTAGACACTTCAGTGTTAGGGTCTTGCTTCTCAGATGGGTGTCATGAATCTCCTATCCTAGAGGTTATTGAAGGCACAGAATCAACTTGTTGCATTCTCATCAGGTATGTCAGTTTTAGAGGTAAACAATTTAAAGCAATGCTTTTGTAATAAAGCAAACTTGAAAGATTGAAATGTACAAAAGAGTTTAGCCCCTAAAATAAGACTTCAAGGAGGTTTTGTGCCTGGGCCATATTCTCAGGTGCTTGTGGGCATAAGATCAGTCTCACCTGCCTTTAGGGCTGCTTAAGTAAAATAGTTTAGAAAGCCAGACAGGTGCTACAGAGAGGAAGAAGCCTTTGGGAGGTGACAGACATACACACAGATAATGTCAAAGTTTGTACCAAGTGCTTTTGGAACAGAGTAGAGACATCTGACACTGGTTATTACAGCCAGGGTACCTACCAGAAAAACTTTTCAGGCAAAGAGGTAATCCTTGAATATGTCAACCAGATAGGAAGGAGGTATTTTTAGGCACAATAAACAAAATTAGAGAGGTGTGAAACTGGGGCATGTTTGCAGCCTACCAGTTCAGTGTAGCTGGAGTGTAGAGTATGGGAAGGTAAAAGGCAAAAAATGAACCTGGATGATGAAGGACTTTAAAAGAAAAATATATAATTGTGTTAAATATCTTGAAAATGCTTTGCACAGAGATAGATGAAGTAGCTTTTAGTAATTGTTTCTCCATTGGAAGGTGGTGAAGTAGAACCCAGCGTGCTTTTCTGTGTTATGAGTGAAGGCTTTCACATTCTCAGCAAAAACAGCTGTTATGTTTACCTGTACTTCACCTCAGAGGTTGACCATTCAGATGCCCATGGGATAGACATAATGCAGATAAGTGAGGCAGGCCTGGTATGTCACGTGGGATTTTGGCATCTAGAGAAAGCCTTCCAACTAAATGCGTTCATGCTCAATTGTTTTTTGAATAGTTGGCCAAACAAAACATCTGCTGCCTGATCTTGCCCAAGGGCTGCAAGTTTGCAATTTCTGCTTTAAATTTCCTGAAGATTGATTATCATCTTTCATTACAAACATTTCTTCCTTGTTATGCACAAGGAATATTTAAATGTATAACAGTGGAAATCGAAGATAGACAAATAAAGGGGATGAGGGCCAATTCAGCCAGAAAATTGGGAGGACAGAAATGTAGAATCTTATTTCTCATCTTTTCCATGTGCTTCTTTTGTTCAGGTTTTCATTTAGCAAATATAGAATTTGAGACAATGTGATATCTATATATACATATATATATACATATATTCTAATTGGTGTATCATGACTAACTTTTTTTTTTTATATATAAATTTATTTATTTATTTTTGGCTGTGTTGGGTCTTCGTTTCTGTGCGAGGGCTCTCTCTAGTTGCGGCGAGCGGGGGCCACTCTTCATCGCGGTGCGCGGGCCTCTCACTAGCGCGGCCTCTCCTGTTGTGGAGCACAGGCTCCAGACGCGCAGGCTCAGTAGTTGTGCCTCACGGGCCCAGTTTCTCCGCGGCATGTGGGATCCTCCCAGACCAGGACACGAACCCGTGTCCCCTGCATTGGCAGGCAGATCCTCAACCACTGCGCCACCAGGGAAGCCCATGACTAACTTTTTTAATGTTACTTGTGCTATACCAAAATAAATATAATTAAAAATAATTATTCTGGGATTTTTAAAGGGGTTTTGTTATACCTTTGTCTAAGAAGAATAAAATTTTTTCAAGATGTTATCTGCCAGAGCTCTACTCATTTACTTAAAGTTGTCTGGAAAACTTTATGTATGATAGTAGGGGGTGCTCTCGCTAATTTAACCAAACTGAAATAAGCACAAGGCCTTTTAATGTGCTAGAAAAATATAGGATTCTGTTTATTATCCTTCATCTTTTTAAACATGGTTTATTGGAGGGACTAACTGGACTTGGAACCTGTGAGTTTCTACTTTGTTGTTGTATAAGGATCAATTTTTCTTAGTAATACATGTCTTTCAGACAATTGGTGCAACCTTTGCAGCCATGATTGGAGCTGGAATGCTGGTCCAGTCGATATCATATGACCAGAGCCCAGGCCCAAAGCATCTTGCTTGGTTACTACATTCTGGTATGTTCTGTTTTACAATTGTTGTTAATCTTAAATATTGCCTTTTTTGATGGCTCTTCACAGTCGTAAATGATATGTACACAATTCAATTAAGCCTCATGTCTGCTAAATACTTATGGTTTTCTGCACTTATTCCTGGTAGTATTATTGCCAGATCTCCACTCTGGAAAGTTAATGATTCTGATACTAAGACCATAGACAGCCCCAGTATTACACTTGCCTCTGGTGACAGTCTAATATATGCAGGGATTTCCTTTTATGTATTTTGTCTAATACCAGGAGGATTTCAGATCTGATACACATCACTTGAGAATTGTTCTTGTTGTATATCTTTAGAAAAATAAGAAACTGGGGGTCTCTACCAGAGAAGGAGGACGTAAGATGTGTGAAAGAATAGGAGCAGAGGTTTTTGCAGTGGAGCATTGGGAAGAAGAAAGCAGTCAAAAAGATCTTTGGAAATTCACTTTTGTGTGTGATGCGGTTAGCTGGGTCAGTAGATAGTTTTTGGCACAAAGTTACTGTGGGCAGGACAGAGGCTGACCAACCCTGGTATTGCGGAACAGTATTAATATTCCTTTAGGTATGTGTAATATTTTCCTTAATTATGGAAAGACAAATATTTTAAAGTTTACATAAAGTATTTTCCATTGCAAGTATCCCAGGGTATTCTGCCTCTGGGTTGAGTAAAGAACACCAGATACAGAAACAAAAATGCTTTAGATGCATGATCTCTACCACGAGCCAAGACAAATTTTATAAGCATTTCCATGAAAATTCCAGGGAGACAGACTGAAATGTTTTTAACGTGGGTTAATAAATGGAAATTAGTTTTGGGGTACCCAGTATGATGAATTTCCAGTGTGAAATACATCATTTGTATTCTTCATGTGCTGGCTTTGTTTTGGTGAATGTGAGAGAGCATGACTTCCCAACCTTGGTTTTCAAGCCTCTCTTCCATTAGGTCTTAGGTAATTCAACCATAGATATTTTCCATGGACCTTTACAAGACAGAACTTTTGTGGTTGGGAGGGCGATGGTCCCAATATTTTCTTCTAATACCAGTAACCTGCTTTTAAGAAAAAAATTACTTAAAACGTAGTGTGTGCATTTGCTTTAAAATTTAATATCTCTTAGTGCCATATAACATTCAAGGATTATTCAGCGTCTTAGCCAGTAAATAGAGTTCTACACCTGTTTCCCATTTTAGACACTGTTTCCTTGAATAAACAGGCTCAGTGTCATTTTATCTCTGATAAATAGTAGATCCACTTGTTGAATTAAAGTAGCTATGTAGTTTTAATTTGAGCTAGAATAAGTAAGCCTTTCTACCTGTGTTGCTTAGAAAACCTCTTCTTATCTGATATTATTGTAACATAAATTAAGTTCTGGGTGTTTTTTTTTTTTTTTTTGTGGTACGCGGGCCTCTCACTGTTGTGGCCTCTCCTGTTGCGGAGCACGGGCTCCAGACACGCAGGCCCAGCGGCCATGGCTCACAGGCCTAGCCACTCCGCGGCATGTGGGATCTTCCCAGACTGGGGCACGAACCCGTGTCCCCTGCATCAGCAGGTGGACTCTCAACCACTGTGCCACCAGGGAAGCCCAGTTCTGGGTGTTTTATGTGTGTTGGAGGGCAGTCCCCAAGACCACCCATTCATTCAGCAATTTGTTAGATGGAGTCACAGCACTCAGCATATAGTTATACTCAGAGCTAAGGTTTATTACAGTGAAAGGATACACAACAGGATCAGAAAGGGAGAAAGATACAGGCAAAGTCTAGAGTGTGGAGAAATCCACACACAGGCTTTCAGTGCTGTCTCCTTCCTTTGAGGTCACACGGCAAGAATGCGAAATGTGCAGTAACATGTACAATGTTTCTGCCCAGGGAAGCCCATTAGAGACTCAGGGCCCAAGGTTTTTATTGGGGGCTGATCATTTAGGGACCCTCCTAGCAACTACCAAAATCCAGACACCCAAAAGGAAAGCAGGCATTCAGCATAACTCATTTTTTGCATAAATAGTCTAACCCTAAGGTTAGAGAATGGTTCCAGTGCCAAGTTCTCAGATGCCAGCCAAGGACTAACCTTGCAAGCAGGTCTTTGTAAAGGTAGGCTTAGGTCTGCTGTGTTAACCCTTTCTTGCGCAGTATGAATGCCATTTTTTTCTTTTTTTAATTTGTTTTCAGAATTTGCTTTATTCTTCATAAACATCTTGGGAAGCTGTGTGTGCAGGCATTAGCCTGTCCATATGTTCATGGATGAGGAAGATGAGGCTGGGTGAAGTCACACAGCAGGAAGTGCCAAAGTCAAGACTGACACCCCCAATGTTATATTTCTCTTTTTTTCTTTTTTTTTCCCCCATGAATTTATTATTTATTTATTTTTGGCTGCATTGGATCTTCGTTGCTATGCGCAGGCTTTTCTCTAGTTGCAATCAGTAGGGGCTACTCTTCGTTGTGGTGTGCGGGCGTCTTATTGCAGTGGCTTCTCTTGTTGCGGAGCATGGGCTCTAAGCACATGGGCTTAAGTAGTTGTGGCACGCAGGCTCAGTAGTTGTGGCTTGCGGCTTCTAGAGCTGAGGCTCAGTAGTTGTGGCACACGGGCTTAGTTGCTCTGCGGCACGTGGGATCTTCCCAGACCAGGGCTCGAACCCATGTCTCCTGCACTGGCAGGTGGATTCTTAACCACTGTGCCACCAGGGAAGCCCCCAATGTTATTTCTTAAAGTCCAACTCTCTGTCTAATTCTTCATCCACTGGCATGATGGAGTTTCAGACCCCTTTAATCCAAAGTGGATGACCTAAGGGCAACCACTCACAGAGTCAAAGAGACATCAAAGCCAGGTTTTGACCCAGGATAAACATCCCAATGCATTCTATTTTCATTTTTCATACAGATGTTTAATACCTTGTGGACACAGCTGCAGTCTCAATCAGGCCTAAGTGATACTGTGCAAGAATTACTGAAACGCTCGCTTAAAGCTAGTCTCTTCTGTGTTTTTCCCCTGCTTTATTGAGATATAACTGATACATGATATTGTATAAGTTTAAGGCATACAACATGTTGATTTGACGCATTTATATATTACAAAATGATTACTGCCATAGCATTAGCTGACCTTCATTTCGTATTTACCGTATCTTTTTTATGATGAGAACATTTAAGGTCTACTCTCTTAGCAGCATTTATGATGCGGTATTATTAGCTGTATTCATGATGTACATTAGGTCCTCAAACTTGTTAATCATAACTGGAAGCTTGTACCCCTTGACAGGTATCTCCACATTTTCATCTCCCCCCAGCCCCTAGTAACCACCACTATGCTCTGTGTTTCTCTGTTTGACTTTTTTAGATTCCACCTATAAGTGAGATCATATGATATTTGTCTCTCTCTGTCCAACTTATTTCACTTAGCCTAATGCCCTCAGGATCCATCTGTATTGTCAAGAAGTGCAACATTTCATTCTTTTTTGAGTGAATAATATTCCATTATTTATATATACCGCATCTTCTTTATCCATCCATCCATTGACAAACACTTGGGTTGTTTTCATATCCTGATTTCCGTTCCTTTGCTTATAAACCCAGAATTGGGATTGCTGGATCATATGATAGTTGTGTTTGTTTTTTTGAGGAACCTTCATACTTGTTTTCCCCAATGGATGTACTAATTTCCTGAAGGGCAGTTTTCATTCACAATGATAATGTTGAGCTATTCTTACTAGTTTTGTAATTGATTTGTCCTTAAGCAGCAAACATCTATTGCCATTTAAGATTTTTATCAGTATCATTGGAAAAAATCTCAATAATCTCCTTGAAAGTTTTTCTTAAAATTTTGCTGTCAGTTGCAAAACTGATAGGAATTCTGATAGAAATGTCATACAGACGAATTTCTATCCAATATCTTTCCTAGAGCAAAAAATTTTTAAATTTTTCATCATCATGTGATAAAATATACCCTATTACTTGATCTAGAAATGTTAGTCTCAAGAGACACACTGGTATTAAAATTTCAGTGTGAAGGTAGCTCTGTGCTTATTCCATGAGTTCAACTATGCACATTTAATGTTTAAGAAAAGGGTATAGTTGAGAATTCCCTGGCTGTTAGGACTCTATGCTTCCACTGCAGGGGGTCCAGGTTCGATCCTTGGTTGGGGAACTAAGATCCCACAAGCCACATGGTACTGCCAAAAAACAAAAAAAAAGAAAAGGGTATAGCTTGCTCTACTCAATACAGAAAGAATGCCTTATCTAAGATCTGTTTTTTTTAAGTAAAAGATTTCTATTTACCTTTGCTAATGAAATTATTGTTACTATACTTTGGGTGGACATGTTTATAAATATCTAACAACTAAAATTGCTTTTTCCAAGCTGTGATTACATTCCCTATTACACAAGGTAACAGCAGCATCTGTCCGTGAAGTTCCTACTTTAAGATTAGCATCATATACTTATTCTTCCCTTTTACTGTGTTCTCTTTCAGCACAGTAGATTTGACCTTCAGTTAATTTAAGCCTTTCATCTCAGTTCTTCCAAATGTGAATATTGTTATAAAGACTATTGGTAGACTCAGATCCAAATAATGAACTACACTGAATTTGACATAGTTACTAAAACTCTAGATTAATGTTTATACTTGTGTGAGTTTTGACTGATTGACTAGGAATCGTGTTAGTTGTGATTTAGAATTTGGGTAGGTACAAGTTTTAGTTGTGGGGTTTTGGGGATAGTGTCACCTAAATAAGGAGAAGACTTTTTGTAATCATATTGTTTAACTATAAGCTATAATATGTTCAGATGGCATGTTAGTTAGAAGAAGCATTTTCCTTTTGGTTGTTATTTAGTAAATATTTAACTGCCTGCTTGCTCTTTCTCCAGGTGTGATGGGTGCAGTGGTGGCTCCTCTGACGATATTAGGGGGCCCTCTTCTCATCAGAGCTGCATGGTACACAGCTGGTGTTGTGGGAGGCCTCTCCACTGTGGCCATGTGTGCACCCAGTGAGAAGTTTTTGAACATGGGAGCACCCCTGGGCGTGGGCCTGGGTGTCGTCTTTGTGTCCTCACTAGGTAAGCCACTGTGCTTTGATGCTTGGTTCTTGGTTCATGATGTCCTAAAATCATCTGACATACTCAGGTATCCTAATGGAGAGAATTTAGTAAGTGTCATTTTTAAAAGTTGGTTAAAACGTATATGGTAATTTGACTGGATTTGCTCATTTGGCATCATGGCAAACCATTATTATTGGTTTTACCAAATACATGTAAAATGGGAAAGTTGGTCTGGAGAACATGAAAATTGCTCTGATGCAGGAACTTTCCTATAATGTGGGCAAGTGACCCATTGCAAGAATGAGTATAATGGGTTTTGAACTGAATGTATGTAAAATTAGAGCACATACTCGGATGTTTCCTTATCTGTGCAACATGCCAAAGAAGAAAATTTTTTTAAGTGATGCTGATTGTAAATCCAGTTACAGAAAAATCCTTTTTCCCAGAAAAACTTTTTCTTCCCATTTTGATTTCAGGATCTATGTTTCTTCCACCTACCACTGTGGCTGGCGCCACTCTGTACTCGGTGGCAATTTATGGTGGATTAGTTCTTTTCAGCATGTTTCTTCTGTATGATACACAGAAAGTAATCAAGCGTGCAGAAGTAGTACCAGTGTATGGAGTTCAAAAATATGATCCCATCAATTCGTAAGTAGCCTTTAATGTCTTTTCTTTGTTGCATAAGGACATTTGTGTTGCTTTGGCCTATTTTGTTTTATGACTGTGTTAGTTTCCAAGGACTGCTATAACAAATTATATAAACTGGCTGATTTAAAACAACAGAAATTTATTCTCTCATAGTTCCAGAGTCCAGAAGTCTGAAATCAAGGTATTGTCAGGGTTGGTACCTTCTGAGGGCCCTAGGGGAGAATCTACTCCATGCCTCTCTCCTCGCTTCTTGTCATGGCCAACCATCCTTGGCATTCCTTGGCTTGTAGATATATCACTCTAATCTTTACTCCTGTCCTCATATGATGTTCTCCCTGTATCTCTGTCTCTTATAATGATGTCATATTGAATTAAGGCTCACCCTTCTCCAGTATTACCTCTTCTTAACTCACATCTTAATTATAATCTCAAAGACCCTATTCCCAAGTAAGGTCACATTCACAGGTACCACAGATTAGGACTTGAACAAATCTTTTGAGTTCAACCTGCAACAATGACTTTGTTGAATTTTACTATTTTATTTCTGTTATTATTTGGTCTGTTCTCTTTCCTTAGTAAGCTATGTATACACAGAACATTTGATTATATTGCAACTAAGTATAATAATTAGGTATATATTCAATTGATTCAGAGTATTTTACCTATTTTGTTAATTAGCCTTATAGTGCTTTTGTTGGTCAATTAATTTTGCGTGTGTGTGTGTGTGTAATTTATATTTAACAGACTTTAAAACTGAAGAAAAGATGTATTAGTCAAGTGTTATTTTTGGAAAGTGTACATAATTGAAATTTTTAATAGAAAAACCTATTTTATTAAAAATTGGAAACACTTCAATTTTTAATTTTTTATTAAAAATTGAAAATTCCATTTTGGAGATATTCAACTGTAGCTGATGTTAAGTGGTGTATAATAATGCTTTTTCCTTTCCTTGGCCTCTCCACCAAAGTAGGTTATTTTATTTAAGTAATTTCGTTGAGTTTCATGGTGTCTATCACATTTTTTAAAGTAATTTATTTTTATTTCTTTAAAACTTAATGTAATGATTTTTTTAAACATTGCTATAATGCTTACAGATTTGTAGCAGGTTTTTGGGGGGTAATGAGGGGAAGCATTGAGGGAGTGTGTTATATTTTAAAATGCCAGACTTGTGTCTGACACATTTCTGTGAAGGTGTTTCTTTGGTTTTTATTTTGATTATTTCATTGTCTGTCACCCATTTCTTTTTTTTTTTTAAAGCAAGATACTGTACTCATAGTAGAGTATCAGAATATAATGATTTTTAAAACTGCCCTTTAACACTTAAAAGATTAATCTGCCAAAAGAAAAATCTTGATAGTTTTCTAGTCTAGGACTTCCTTAGTTGGCGACTTTTTTTAAATTTCCATTTCACGTACCTGGGATAAATAATCAGTGTTGCGCTTTCTTCTCTCCTACATTAAGAAATAGTTTTTGTCATTGTTACAAGAATTACATCATATTTAACAGGCATAATTTCTTTTCTAGGATGCTGGGAATCTACATGGATACATTAAACATATTTATGCGAGTTGCCAGTATTCTAGCAACTGGAGGCAACAGAAAGAAATGAAGTGACTCAGCTTCTGACTTCCTTAATACATCAGATATCTAGCTTGTTTAATAGGGGCAGATATTCTTTAAATAGTTTGTGCAAGCAGCTTTCGTTGAAGTTTAGAAGATAAGAACTTGTCAACATGTTTCAGGTGTTCCAGTAATGTGATGCTTCAGGTCTGCTTTTTCTTCTGGAGAATAAATTCAGTAGTTCTCTTCCAAATAGCACACACATTTTCAATTCTTGTGTTTGAGTAATTCTAAAATGTTCAAATGAATATGAAAACCAAGTTTTGTGTTGCAGGAATTTAAGTATTTTATCTATTTTTAAATTTATTTGGTTAAGTGAAATTTAGCAAACTTGTGTACCTGCATTTTTCATTTTGTATTGCGGAATATTAACAAGTAATGTCATAAGTGATGTAGGGGTTTGGTAAAGGGACCAGAGAGAAGTAAAGCGACACCTGCAGTCTTTCTTTGAATACTTAGAACTTAGCACTCATGTAATTGTGGTGAGCCAGTGAGGGGGTCTGGATGTTTGGAAACAAGTCATGGCTGTACATCTGCTGAACTTATCAGAAGCGCTGAGCAGAAGACAAAGACATAGGTGATGCTCCAGGCTCTCCTTACGATGTGGATGTGATCATGTTTGGCTTCTCATTGTTTGACACTGTTAGGAGAGTCCACAATGCTAATCATGTGGAGAATTCCTGTTACATATATTACGTGTGTGTGTAAGTCTTACTTTTGAATCGTCTAGTAGAACAAAATATCCTTAAAACACTCAGGAAAAAAATATTCGAAGCAGGAAAATTGTTGCATTTTAAGTATACAAACAATATGTGCATAGTTGCTGAATATTTTTGCAAATTTATTGAAATGTTTAAAGGAATAAATGCTTGCCTTTCTTATCTCTTCAGGCTTTAACTTTTATATCAGAAAAGCCTGTTCGTGGTTTACACTTGAGATTATAAAAGCAGTTTTCCCCCTCAGATTTAGTTTCTTGCATTCCCTCTCAGAGGAGTCACTAAAAAAAGGAAGGCAGGGCTTCCCTGGTGGTGCAGTGGTTAGGAATCCGCCTGCCAATGCAGGGGACACGGGTTCGAGCCCTGGTCTGGGAAGATCCCACATGCCGCGGAGCAACTAAGCCCGTGCACCACAGCTACTGAGCCTGCGCTCTAGAGCCCGCGAGCCACAACTACTGAGCCCGTGTGCCTAGAGCCCATGCTCCGCAACAAGAGAAGCCACCGCAATGAGAAGCCTGTGCACCTCGACGAAGAGTGGCCCCCGCTCGCTGCAACTAGAGAAAGCCCGCGCACAGCAACGAAGACCCAACGCAGCCAAAAATAAATAAATTTATTTAAAAAAAGAAGGCGGCAAAGCGAGGCTTCTTTCATGAACTATATCAATCAAAAATGTAATGGAGAAAATGCTTCACTAGAGTTTCCCCTAGCAGAATTCTCCTTCTTTCCTCCATAGGCCATTATTTAACTCCCTTGTGCCATTTATAAGTTTTTTGATACAGAAGAGTTATTTTTGGAAGTTCTTATGAATGAAATAAGTGTATGATTATTGAGATAGTTGCTGTTTTGACAAATATTTACTACAGTAATCCATAAATAACTATTCTCCCCACCTCAAGTTACATAGGATGCCTATTTCTGAAATAATAATGGTTCTAGCCAGATGGTGATTGGTCTGTAATTTTTCCAGCTGAACCATATGCATATCATTGAATAGGAGATTTGTTCAAGAAAGCAACTTATTCCCTTACTGATGTAGTATATAGAGTATGGTATGATTATAACTATGGTCCTTACAGCTAGACTGCATTTATCTGAACCCCAGCTCTTCCACTTATTCCTTACGTGACCTTTGGCAAATTACTTAACCTCTCTGTGCCCATTTCCTTATCTGTAAGATGAAGATGATAGCAGAACCTACCTCATAGGGTTAAGGTGAAATGTGCAGGCACTTAGTAAACGCTATGTAAGTTTTAGCTGCTGTTGCTGGCTGGTTTTGAAGGGTTTTTTCCTAAGAAAGATCTATGAAACTTCTGTGTGTTCCCTTCTCTACCTTAGCCCCTGTACAGTGTGATCTTAGAGTGAAATCTTACTGGTCCTGTTGTTGTCAGTCACGTTTTAGCACACAAAGTTTATATCCTTATGTTGGGATGATATACACACAACACAAAATGATATAATTTCAACAGTGGCATCAGGCAAAGGCTTATCTAGAAAATAAAGGGGGTTTTTTTGTTTATTTTTTTTTAATGACAGCATTTTATTATAGCACTTTTTCTGATTTTGCTAAGACAGTGAAGACTTCAATATAAAATGTGAATATAAGTTAAAATATTATAATAGGTCTTAAATGATAACAGAAGAAAAATCACTATTTCTCTGGCTACTGTTAACATACCACTGGGTTTTTTTTTCCTCACATCACTCAAGGGAAGAGTGGAGACCTGCAAATTGATGGGCTTTAGGCAAAAAAAAAAATCCATTTCTCATTTTCTGAAACATCATCTGATCTCCTAGGAAGGATGTCGTGTCTTAATTAGCTCATTAGTCATGCTACCTGTTCTAAAATGCAGTATTTTTCAGACTTCATTTCTGAAATGTGTGTTCCATTTCATGATTCTTTTCCACCAAACTAAACAGCGTATCTTTAAATCAGTGGCATCTTAGAATTGAAGAAATAATGGTATTTTTCGATGATTTGTTTTCCATTTCTAATAGTTCATTGTCCTGTAGTAACTGGTATCTGATGATTCAGAGAGAATCTTCCACAACCTAGCCCCACCCAGTTACGTATTTCATACAGGTTGAATTGGACTGATTTCCCAGCAATGCAGAATGACTCTGAAACAGGAATGCCAGTAGAAGTTGAGAGAGAAAGATTTTGTGGTTTGGCGTGATCTGGCTGTTCATAAAAGGGATTAACGACTTGGTTCAGTTCAGCACTCCTTGAAGGAATGAACTCTTAGCACCAACTGTGGGGAGAAACCAGGGTGGATGAGACCCTTTTCACCCTGCTGTCACAGCCTGGCTGGGAGCTTGTCAGCTAGAAGACAGCATCAGATGGGCAGAGGCAGTGGGTGGTGGCCAGGAGAGATCTCATAGTGAGAGAGGGCCGTTGGCCCTGCTGACCTTTGAGCCCGGAATGCCGGAGACAGAAACCCTTACTGTTGGTGGGGAATTTTGCGCCTGAACACAACAGCATTAAATTTTTTTTTTTTTTTTTTTTTTTGCTGTATAGTTGATTTATAATGTGTCACTTTGTACAGCAAAGTGACTCAGTTATACACCTATATACATTCTTTTTTTATATGCTTTTCCATTATGGTTTATCACAAGGTATTGAATATAATACCCTGTGCTGTACATTAGGGCCTTGTTGTTTATCCATTCTAAATGTAATAGTTTGCATCTACCAACCCCAAATTTCCAGTCCGTCCCTTTACCTCCCTCCATAACAGCATTAATCTTTACAAGTCACTTTTTTTAAGAGATCAGGTCAAGAGATAGGCACTCTATTTGGTACCATGTTGCTAAAATGTGAGAAACAGCAACAAATGACCCAAGGTAATTGTGAAGTGATTATTGAGAAACTACAAAAGCATTATGGAGACTACTCACTACAAGAGTTCAGAGAAAGGGGGCAGTTTCACTATGCTGAGTGCCCACAGGAACACAGGTGTCCTACACACACCAGCACAGAAAGGCTGGGGGCTGGAGGGGGCTCCCAGCTTTGGTGGGAAGGGGCATGTCTGGGGCAGCCTTCCCGCAAAGCATCATGGGAAGCATCTGGACCTACTTTGCAGAGAACCCAGCCTTCTCTGCCTGCAAACCAAATGTGTTTGTGACTCTACTTGTGTGCTCACAAATTATGTCACCCTTATACTGGGTGCCTCAGAAAAGAAGTATGGTCACCTACCTCATTTAAGTAGAAGACGTATTTAAAAAGAAGTTGGGGAATTCCTTAGCGGTCCCATGGTTAGGAATCCACGTTTCCTCTGCAGGGGGCACGGGTTCGAACCCTGGTCAGGGAACTAAGATCCCTCATGCTGTTTGGCACGGCCAAAAAAAGAAAGAAAGAAAAAAAAGTTGGAGAAATTATGACAAGATTTTCACTCTTGTTATTTCTGAGCGGCAGAAAAAATGGGCGTTTGGAAGGGAATGGGGTGTTCAGTATCTTTTTCAGTATATTATATCTGCCCATAAGTAGTTTTTTAGAAAAGTAAGTCCATATGGAGAGAAAATACATTGAACACCTCAAAAGAAGCTTTTCAGATTTTAGGAACTTAGTGGGAAAGCAGAAACTCTCTCCACCCTGTGGCCTTTGGCACCATCTCACCTCTGAGTGGAACTGAACCCAGAGCCTTCAAGGCCCTTTTAGCCCTGAGGTGCTGTGTCTGCAGTGACATCAGGGTTGAAGTTTAGCCCAGGATGGCAGGGCTCTGTCAGCACCTTGCGCATCCGCCTGGTCCTAGTGCTTCCAGGAGTGGGGCAAGAGTAAGGGAAGGGGACACCTCTCCTCTGGGAAGCCTGCTGCCAAACCTGCAAAGCACGCAACAGACACTGACAAACAGGATCCATCCCAACCCCACCTGCCGTTCTCCAGCTCCGAATGCTGGCAAAAGCCGGAAACCTTGGCATCCTCCTTCCTCCCCATTGCCCAAGTCAGTGGCACTTGCTTTGCTGGTCCTCTCACCCTTCTCCATCAGTCCATCTGCTATCAGTCCTTTAGACCTGAATTTCAGTGTTTATTTCTTCTTTGCCCCAAATCGTGGCAAGAAAAGACAGTCATCGTTCCACATTAAAGAAGCGTCATACATCCTTGAGCACAATTGGGGAATTGGTATTTCTTGGAGACAGGTTATTAAAAAAGGGAGGGAAAGCTATGCTCCCCACTGCTGACAACTGACTGCCTAATATAACAAAAACTTCTTTTCATAGGGCACGATGCTTTAGCATTCACTTTCATCAAAGGGATCTCTTCCTCTCCAACTTCAGTTACTGTTTTACTGAGAAGGAAAGAAACTGAGGAACAGAGAAGTTGAGCAACTTGTCCAGGGTCACACAGCTAAAGATTGCCAAGTGTTCTGCTGAGAACCTGCATCATGTGGCTATGGAGCCTGTGCTTTTCATGAGTGTAGGGGAGCAAGGGAGACAGAAATAGAAAGCAAGCATCCTGAGTCCCCTACTCCAGGCTAAGACCATGGGGTGGATGTGAAGGGGTGGAGGCAAAAGGCCAGGGACTCCAGAGAGAGAGCAGAAAGCCAAGGGACTATTCCCTTTAGGGACTCAGAGATAGTGGCTTCACAGGTGTTCCAGCACCAGCATGGGGTGGCCACAGGATAGAACACAGTGCCTTCTAGCCTCCCCAGGTGGCTTTGTGGTGTGGAAGAGAAGGTCACATTGTGGCACATGCCCATGGAGGAGCCTGCAGGCCTGCTGGCAGCCACCATGGTGAGGCAGGGTAGCCCACACCAGTGGGGAGGGAGGCATGAGTAACAGTGGGTGGATTCACAGCATCATTGAGTACCTAGGGGACCAGCAAGGGTGAAAGTGGAGGCAACAGACCCTGAATTTACCAGCCTTGTCCCCAGCAGTGGGACACCCAGGGGCAGGCGAGATCCAATGGGTTGGAGGCTTATGAGGAAGTTCAGATTCATTGTAAAAAATAGAGGAAGTTGTCAGGTTTTGGTACAATTTGAGGGTAGTGTGTAAGCTAAACTTCAGTGTAGTGGATTCTTTTCAACTACTCATGAGTTCTAATGGTACCACTGTCAGGAAAGAACCTCTGATTTGGCGGCAAACACACCTGGTTCCAGGTGAGACATTGCCATAACATACTTAGGTGAAGGAAAACTTCCCTTTCCCTTGTTGTAAGATGGAAATGAAATGCCT